GGGGAAGTGAGGTGGGTAGGGGGGCTCTATAGTGGGTAGGGGACTGTATAGTGGGTTGGGACAGTATAGTGGGTAGGGGAGCTGTGAGGTGGGTAGGAGGGCTGTGAGGTGGATAGGGGGCTGTATAGTGGGTAGGGAGGCAGATAAGTGGGTAGGGGGTCTATAGTGGGTAGTGGGGCTCTATAGTGGGTAGGGGGCAGTGAGGTGGGTAGGGGGCTCTATAGTGGGTAGAGGGGCAGTATAGTGGGTAGGGGGCAGGGGGGCTGTGAGGTGGGTAGGGGGCAGTATAGTGGGTAGGGGGGCAGTGAGGTGGGTAAGGGGGCTGTGAGGTGGGTAGGGGGGCTGTATAGTGGGTAGGGGGTCTGTGAGGTGGGTAGGGGGCTGTGAGGTGGGTAGGGGGCTGAATAGTGGCTAGGGGGGCTGTGAGGTGGCTAGGGGGGCTCTATAGTGGGTTAGGGGGCAATATAGTGGGTAGGGGGGCTGTAAAAAAGTAAATACCTTTCGTGTCCTCTTGGTCCGGTGGGCAGCTTCCCAGTAACGTGCATGGGGGCGGAGCTTTGAGCGGGAGGCGGAGCTTCCGTTTGGGGGCGGAGTATGCGGCTATAATGATTTCAGACTGTGCAGGGAGACTGACAGGTCTCCCTGCAGCTGCTGGCAGTCACACCAGCCCCCAGCTCCTCCCTCCTTCCTCCCCTCGGACTGACAGGCTGGCACAGTCCGAGGGGAGGATTTATCAGAATGATCATTAAGGCGGTCAGCCCAGCCCCAGCTGGGCCAGTCCGGGCCTGCCACCCACTCTCTCAAACGGGGGATTTAGCTGTCCAAATCCCTACCGCCCACCAGGAATCCTGAAACGCCCACTAGTGGGCGGTAGGGACCAGGTTGACGACCCATGGTCTAAACGGACAGCTATAGACAGTGTGGGTTGAAATTAGGAGAGGACTTGTATAGGCTCTAGACAAGAAATCTTCAGCTATTACAAACTGTTTTTAGATATAATCCAATTAAAACAAATGCATAATTAAATGCATGCTCTCATTTGTGGTATAAAACTCAGCAGTGCTTATTAATCCATTTCAACAGTGGAGTTCCCGTTTTCCTACTGAAATCTGCACTTTGTAAACGAGAGGGGGTGGGAGAGGAGGACAGTTCACACAAAGTTTTAAGTAAGCCAAGTTGCTTTAGGCGTCCTGAATGTCCCTTTAATAGCAGTGACATTTTTTACAGGTTCACTTTCAAATTCTAGATAAAAGGCACATGAACTTTTATATTTAACACTAAGCAACCCCTGCCATCTAGTGGAAGGAAATGGGAATTACAGAACGATTCAGACACTAGTTATTGTGGTTGTGATAGAAAGTATGCAGATTTGAAAAGCACATGCATTCCAAATAGGCTAGATTAGAAGACATTTTGAAATATATGTTCTGTTGTACATACAAAGCAAACTATATTGCCACACCTATAGAGAGCAGATTGTTAGCCAAGGTTGCAAACTCTGAATGAATGTGATGACATTAAGGTCCAGGTGCTCCCTTGTGGAAAAAGGTTGGCAGCAGCCCTGCACATGTGTAGTCTATCCCCAGGTTATAAATATTAGAAATGAAAAGTGTGATCAATCTTTTGTTCATAGGGTCTCTAAAAACCTACGAACAAATAATTCTAAAGATGGACATCACGGAGTATTTAGACAGGGAACCAGTTCCCTTTTATTGTGTTTGTTACAGCTGCAGCGATTGGCAATAAGGATTTCTGCAGCTGAAAGCCCCTCTTCTCAATGACAGAGTGGTCTAGTACAAAATACTAGTAGGGCATGTAAACTCCATACAAACTCAAGCTGCTTTTGATGGGTGACTTTTCTAGGTAAGACAGCTGAACAAAGCTACTTACAGTAAAAACACAATTGGAAAAGTTTAGGTTGTACAAGGTCAAAGCTCTGCTTATATTCGCTTGTGCAGTAGTTTCCTTCATATCTTTTTAAGAACTATATTCAGGCAACAGCATTAAAGGGGTTATTTCAGGCTATTTAGAGCATTAAATGAAGTTGCATTGATTAGCAAGGGTACCTAATTAAGTATATAGTCCTTTCACTTTCTTCCTGTCCAATAGTCAGCCAAGTAAAGTGGCAGCAAATCAATGCAAAAAAGCACATTATTCAGTTCAAACATCAATATGGGGAAGAAGCACGATTTAACGCCAAACTTGAGCTTGAACAGGTCAGAGATGGCTGATCACAGCTACAGGTTAATAAGTCCGGTCACAAAGAATAAACAAACAATCTCAAACTGGTCCCACTAACATGGCAAGGAGTTTACTCCAGTGGCCTCTGCAGTCGTTCTCAATCCAATAGAGAACCTTTAGAATTCTGTGAAGCTCCCACTTAATGTACTGTCAACAAATCCACAGACAAAACAAAATGCTGTCATGGAAACATGGTCTAGAATCTTTAAAGAGTTATTTCAGGAGCTTGCTGAATTTGTGTCATGAAGAATCCAGGCTGTTGAGGCCAATATGAGAGAACGATTTTTTGTATTTGAGAAATGTACCTATTAAGAGGGGTCACAGAACATCCAAGATCTGCCCAGAGCACATCTTACACCGTCTTTGTATCAGAAAATACCTTCGACCTTACATTTGGCAGACTTATTGAAGGAACCCAAATAACCAATGGCTGATTAGTATGTGATATAACCGGTCACTTCAACAACCAGGGCATTTACAAAACCATTAGAGAAGCGCTCTAGTGTGCTGTATCCTGCATTCCGCTATTTACCAAGCAGCCAGTGAGGATGTTACAGTAAGGTGCAAGATTTAGATTTTTCCACAATCAAAGTGTAGAATTTGTGAGATCTGCCAAAGGTCACACTCCCCATAGGAGAAACTACTTAATACTTTCTTAAATATAGGGGGGAGGGGGCAATGAGGCTTTCTGTCCACCCAACTGCAATTTAAATCTTTTCTGGGTGCATTATGAATTAGATTGCAGGGAGGAAGGTGGGGAAATCACAAAAACACAGTTTAAATGATTTTGTCTCCGCAACGGAACAGATCCTCCATTGTTAGAATTAGGTGTTCCATGCATTGCAGCAATGGAGTAAAATCTAAAGAGATAGCATTGCAAAACAGATTTATTGCTCAATCCTGTAGATTAATTACCATGAGAGGCCTACGAGTAACACTTCATTTACCTTATCGTACTGGCAGACAACAACATTTTCTGTGTCAAACAATTCCTGGCCCTCTTCATCACTCACATCATCTCCACTATTGAGTGGTTCCTGAAATAGAGGCGCATTATATACAAAACATGTAACCAACAGGAAACTCAATGCTTTTCCACAAGGATAACTAGCAATACATACAATAAAACTATGCAGACACTCCTGATCGAGAAAATTCAGTGTCAATATTTGCTAATCTACAAGAGTTTGATAGTGTTGCATGAGGCTTTACTAATGCATAACAAATGGAGTAAGTGTATAGGCAGCAAGTTTGTGAATTTTATTTGGCATGTTGATCACTTGACACCTGGAGTATCAAACATTAACCAAAATAAAGAGGCTTTGCCCTAAAAGAGGTCCTTATAGATCAGTTTCAGTCCAAGACATGCATAGGAGATGGTTTACCAGGTATGCAGTCAAAAGTAAAGATTACCTCTTCCACCTGGCCATCTTCACCATCTTTTTCCTTGTCCTCTTCCTCCTCATCATAATCATCTTCGTCCTCGTCTTCATCTTCTTCAGAAGAGGTATCACCTGCTCCATCTACCTGCAAGACCAGTGGCGCCTGCTGTTGTCCTTGCTGCGCTTGCTGCTGTTGCTGCTGATGCTGCTGACTTGCCATGGTAAGTTGGGCCTGGGCAGAGGCCTGTGTAGCCGACATGGTAGTAGGGATGACAGAAGGTTTGTTGCCTGTAAATAATATCTGCTGGGGTTGTATGATCACTCCTGTTTGCTGGGAGAGACCCCCAGGGAGGGGAGCTAAAACCTAAAGAGAAAAGGAAAAAAAAAAAAAAAAAAATTTGATTAAATGCTTTTCAGTCATTATGCTGAGGAAAAAAACAACAGCATTTGTATTAAACAGTCAACTTTTCCATCTTAAGAAGCTTTCCAAGTATCTTCAGCAGAGCAAACAACGCACAGAGTACAGCTAATTACTCAGAGTCCTTGTCACATGGAGAGTAAGATTCCAAGAATGTTTTACATAAGCTCTGCTACACTGTTCTAATCAGTCAGATAGTGGCAGACGTCAAACAGAATACCCATGGACAACAGTGGCAATGCCTTACACTGGCAGAAGAAACAAAGCCCTTTTTTCTCCTCATTTCTAAAAGAAATGACACGTATTCCCAACACTTCAGTCCTGGAGTGGCTGCCTAAGTCCCCAGGCACCCTCAGAATGGAGTTAAAAAGGTATTTCGTTTTCTTCTTTCACCAATCTCGTCTCCATTGCAGAGATCAATCTTGATCTCAGCCAATCCAACGCTATTGCACATGCGCAGCAAATTGCCTTGCTGCGCTAATCGGCATCTACCCATTGAGATACACACCTGTGGGAAGCATCCAGGGTTTCCATGCAGAACGTAACAACGTAAAAGACAGGAGGCACCTCTAGTAGCCAAGTGACTACCACAAGTGCTGTATCTAGGCACCAATGTAAACATAGCTTTCACAGTGCATTGACAGACTATAGACACCAAAACTACTACATTACGCTGCAGTGGTTCTGGTGACTAGCATCTCTAACATGAACAAACTGCATTTCACTTCTATCATGGAAACTAGTTAATTTGACCTTACTCATGACTGATTCTAGATGTGCTGGACATTACGCCAATTTTTTTTTTTTAAATATTATTTATTTTATTACAAGGTTGGGTGGCACCTATATTTTACTAGGGACAGGGACACTAAAGTGTCGGAATACAGGTTAGTACTCCTGTGTTAGTGTTACTTTAACATAGTATACTGACTTGCAAATAATTTACGTGTTGTCGCAGGTAGACCCAGCATCAATTCATATGGGTGTTCTACAAATGGTGGATCATCCCTGGTGTTAAGTAAAATTAGAACTGCACCACTTTGCAAGTGTTGCTGAATGCCACATTAATTTGAGGCCAAGATGAAATACAATAGCAAAGAAAACCAACTGATAAAAAAAAACAAAAAAAAAACACAAACCTACAAAAGCCAGTTTGAATACTCCGTTTATGAAATTGACAGTATAGAGAAATAGTGTTACCTCAAGTTTGTTTCTACCACACACCAAAGCAGCTTTGAGCAGAAGACACAGCTGTGCATGAAAATGCGATCGGTGGCAATGCTGCATGCACTACTGAGCAGGCAGTTTAGTTAGCCTATACATGTGATAGCAGTTTAGATAGCACAATGTACACATTAAAATGTATGTTATTTAAAGGGATACAAAGATATGACCGGTATCCAAAGTTCTTGCACTCTGTAAATTGTATTTAAAAAAATATATTTTGGACCTAGGTACCTGAGAGATTAGCTGCACATTTGCAGCTATGCAAGCATTTTTAAAATCTGTTTTAAAGAGATTCTGGAGAAGCATATTTTGACAATTACCTGCTGGATTACTGGAGCCTGCACCCCGCCTGGCTGCATTTGGGGGATGACTTGTTGTTGCAGGACCATTTGCTGCTGAGGCTGAATGATGTACTGGGCTCCATTAGCTGCCCGGACCACTTGTAAGAGTTGACCTGTCAGATAAATAAGTAACTGAATAAGTACAGGATATATCCTTTAGAGAAACCATAGATTGGATTTAGAAATCAAAGAAATATAAGTCGTTATGAGTATCTAAAACGTGATTTTTACACATGAAGATGCATTCTTTCAGGTTGTTATAATCTTTAATATTTGCAAACAGAGGATTTAATCTTTAGATTAACTTTTCAGATTAGGTCAACACTGAACAGAACTGATTTGTTATACACCTTTAAAAAACACTGATGGAATTTTTGCAAGATGACCACTGAAACCGGTTAATCAATCATGTTGAATAGCTTGAAACAATGGGATTAAGGCCTGTTGGATTTTTTTTTTTTTAAATAGAATTGTTGCAGTGAAAAGGTGCATGTTATCTCTGCAGACACAAGCCTAATAATTAACGTGGATTAAAGTAATTGGTTTACTAAAAGTGTAAACATCACATGAATATACAGCCTAGCATGCTACATAACGAATCCCCATTTGATTCTGAATACGTTTTGGACAGAACAGATCTTAAAATGAAAACCAGTACATAGATTTTTCTTACGCACAGTAGTTTTTCCTATCCAGCATTTGGCTTCACATAAATGCAACACAGAACAGATTTTAGGGAAAGTCTGGAGAAACCAATGCATGTAAATAACTTCCACCTTAACCCATGCAACAAGCTTAAGTAGATCTGATGCATTATACGTCCATTGACCCTAGCAAGAAAACCCTGGAATTACCCATGTGGTATTACATTTCAAAGTCTATATTATCAAATATTATGCTGGGAACAAGCAGGGCATTTTCTGTTTCAGAGCAACTATCACGAGCATTTGACTCCATAAAAGGTCCCCAGGACGCTGCTGTGGAATGGCAAGCATTGGCATAGTTGTGCTTTATCCTGAAAGGAGGGCACCCCAAGACATGTATTTCAGATTCTGTGTATGGCTGCTTTCTATGGAAGTTGAGTTTGAAGAATTTAAGAAGGCACTATTGTAATTGTATGGGAGTTTTATAAACATATATTAATTCCATTATTGCATTAAGTGCTTTGTTTTTAACTCCCTCAGTCAGTAAATTCGCTGCTTTACATGCTTTGTGCTTAGAATAAAAAGAACTTTTTTAAAGCACTTATTTATAGGTGGCACATAAAAAAAAGCTTTATAAAAAGCCTATGGAATGCTTTTACCAAGTAAAAATAAAGCAGGACTTTTATCATTGAAGAGTCTGCATTTCTGCGAGTTAAGATTTTGCAGTTATACACTTACTAAAGAACTAAAACCAGAAACCTTAATAAGCACTTTAAAAAAAATAAAAAAAAAATTAAACCAATTCTTATCTGAATTCAAAACCCGTTCTAAGTTATATCCTAGGCTATTCTTTATGCAGTATGTTACATGAGATTGTAAGACAAACTATTATACAAAGGACACATTTGCTCAGATGCCCTACTGAATATTGAGTGGGACATCTGAAAAATCCCATCCAGGATCAGACTGAGCAGGTCTGTGTGTGTTCATTTTACAAGTGACCAGCTGTTCACAACAGCATAAGCAGACAGCCATCCCTCAATATCAATGAGTCAGTCTGTACTAGTACAAAGGGAAAGACTTGTTTACCCCTTTTCTAACTTATTATGGCAGCTATCTGATGGGTGCTGCCCACGTGTCTACAGGTGTCATAGGATACGAAAGTCACTTAAAGTACTTGCCTGAATTAGTGATGAGCTGCTGAACAGGAGTCACACCTGCTGGTAAAGCCAAGGTGGCAGCTGTCGCTGCTGAACTCTGTAAAATAAACCGTTAAAATATATAATCACAGACAGTGCTGCTGACAGAGGTTAATAGCATGACTGAGCTTGGTATGGTCAGCCTACTTGTTTGCAATTTGAGTTTTACTCCCTTTTGTGAATAATCTCATGACAAAATTTAAGAAAAAAAATGTAAGTCAGACAGGGCTGTGTGAGTTTTTCTTACGTACCAAGCCTTGCTGGGTCATATGATGAATCAGCTTGGATTCTGGGAGCAGAACTTGCTGCTGTGGGGCTGAATAGAAAATGGATTTTAGAACATAACTAAAAAACACAGTTCACCATAAAATCCCACCACAACACCTAGCCTGATATCATCAAATAGTTACCACCAATCGTACCTTGATGTGAAGCAGGGATAAGAACTTGTTGTGCCTGCGTCTGGTGGGCGGCCGCCTGTTGCTGTTGATGCACATGGTGATGTTGAGCATGCTGCTGCTGTTGCTGAGCTTGCAGGAGAAGCTGTTGCTCTTCGGAGTGAAAGAAGCTGTTGCTCTTCGGAGTGAAACCCATCCACTGCTTTTGATTGCATTAACTTGCTCTCCCATAGCTGCAAACAACAGTTCCGTTAACACAACAACAGGACAACCAACGACAACGCTGGACACAGTACAGTATCTACTTACAGTCTTGAGCTCTATAAGGACTTGCTCATCGACCCCTTCATCCAGAAAGAGTTCTCGCACGTCGTTAATGACATCTTCAATGACAGATCTGTATAGTTTAGGCTGCAAGAGAGAACAGTGGCCCAATTCTATATCAAATAATATAAGAACAATTCATTACAATTGATCTATTTCAGTGCACATTATATCCTAGGACCTAGTGTGTACTGCAGACCTCTATACACTTAATGTTTACAAAAATAATTTGCCAGAAATAACAGAATTTGAAAAATTCAAGCTTAACTTAACAATTCCAGCCTGGGTATTGCTGGACTTTTCTTTTAAATTCAGAGTTTAGTGAATTAATTACAAAGTCTAGATGAGTGAATAACCACAAAACTAAGAATGTTTGCCTTGCACCCCATTCTCAAACAGTTGAGTTATTGCACAGCCTTCCTTTAAAAGAAATGGCTTAGCTCACCTATGATGTATCATGCAAATTGTAGTACACCAGTTTATCGTTTCCATATCTTAAGGGTGACTATCAGGACAGGGAGACCAATTCAATCAACTATAAAGCTTTCGGATTCCAGCAAAAATGGTGAAAACGTTTCACCGGTCAAGTATCACTAAAAGGATGCCCCAGTAAGTAGTTAGGTTTTCAAATTACACTAGTTCTGAAGCTCAAAGTTGAGAAACTGCAGTTCTTATTAACAGACCGTTAACAGTCTAAAGTGTTCGTGATGGTTAAAGGACCACTCTAGGCACCCAGACCACTTCAGCTTAATGAAGTGGTCTGGGTTCCAGGTCCAGCTAGGTTTAACCCATTTTTTCATAAACATAGCAGTTTCAGAGAAACTGCTATGTTTATGAATGGGTTAAGCCTTCCCCTATTTCCTCTAGTGGCTGTCTCATTGACAGCCGCTAGAGGCACTTGCGTGCTTCTCACTGTGATTTTTACAGTGAGAGCACGCCAGTGTCCATAGGAAAGCATTATGAATGCTTTCCTATGTGACCGGCTGAATGCGCGCGCAGCTCTTGCCGCGCGTGCGCATTCAGCCGACGGGGAGGAGAGTAGTAGGATCGGAGGAGGAGAGCTCTCCGCCCAGCGCTGGAAGGTACGTTTTTACCCCTTTCCAGAGCCGGGCGGGAGGGGTGGGGACACCCTCAGGGCACTATAGTGCCAGAAAAACGAGTATGTTTTCCTGGCACTATAGTGGTCCTTTAATCCTGGTTGCCTAAGCCCAGTCTGCAGACATGTTTAACTAAATACCTAGAAATAAGAAAACCTGGATTAGATGAGAATTCAATTCATTACACAGATGTCTTCCATCCACACCTGTCCAACAACAGAGACAGCCAACAGCAAAAAGCTTTTATACAGGAATGTGATAAATTAAAGCCAGAGATTAGGCTTTTCAAATCACCAAACAAATCTACACAAAATGGCTCCTTAACGGATGAAAAGAGGTCGATTACATCAGACATTCATATGTTGTGACGTGCATTGCATGATATCCATTTCTCCACGTCTGCAAACATCCGTGTAGTTTGGAACCCTTTAAAAGACTGGAGTCTAAAATACTGTAATATCTTCATTGATTAGAACTACAAAATAGAGTTTAAAGGAACACAAGTCACCAAAACCACTATAGTTTAATGTAGCCGTTCCGGTGTCTATAGAATGTCCCTGCCGCCTTAGCACCATAAACATTTTACATTGCTGGGCTGGCTAGTTACACCGCTGGAGGAGGTCACTCGGATGGCCACTAGAGGTGACTAACGTCTGTGCCGCACTGGCATTCAGCATCTCCACGCTCTGCATTGAATTGACAGAAATAATTAAAACTGACAGCCATGGAGGCGGAGCCAGTTGTGGCGAGGGAGAAAGAGTAAAATCACCTTAAAGGACCACTATAGGCACCCAGACCAGCTCAATGAAGTGGTCTGGGTGCCAGGTCCCTCTAGTTTTAACCCTGCGGCTGTAAACATGGCAGTTTCAGAGAAACTGCTATGTTTACACGGAGGGTTAATCCAGCGTCTAGTGGCAGTCTCGCTGACAGCCGCTAGAAGCGCTTCCGTGATTCTCACTGAAAAGTCACAGTAAAACGACTATGGACATCCATAGGAAAGCATTGAGTAATGCTTTCCTATGGGCGTTTTGAATGTGCACGCAGCTCTTGCAGCACATTTGGCGCTGACGTCGGCAGGAATAGGAGAGTTCCCCAGCGCTGAGGGAGCCCAGCTCTGGAGAAAGGTAAGTGGCTGGAGGGGTTTTAACCCCTTCAGCCCAGCGGGAAGGGGGGGTCACGAGGGTGGGGGACCTAATGACCCTATAGTGCCAGGAAAATGAGTTTGTTTTCATGGCACTATAGTGGTCCTTTAAATATCCTGAAAGAGTGGGTGCCAAGAACCTAATGGTGCATTCCTGAATTACAGTGTCAGGAATACATGTTTTCGGACACTATAGCGTTCTTTTAATAATCCATTATAAAATAGAGCAACTTGTAAATACCAATTTGAACAAACAAGTCCACAGTAATGGCCACTCAGTTAACCGCAGTTCTGGGACTGGTTACTAGTATACATACACATTCACTAATGTCACCTTATTCGTACAGCAGTTGCTAGGATCATATGCCAACAAGAACATCTTACACAGTGATGTGACAGACCTAATGCCACAGGCAGTAAGATGACCTGCCAATGTGCTATTTGAACTCAGGGAGAATTATAACCATCATACATCTATATAGACAGTTACATGGTGAGAAGCAAAGACTAGGATAAACAAGCATACAGCTCTAATACTGCAATATGCTGTACAGCTATAATACCCATTTGCTATACCTACAGCTGATTTTGAACTAGGAGTTCCAATTATTATTTCTAAAGTGCCAACAGATGCTGCAGCGCTGTACAATGATATGACCCTCTGCTAGAGATAAGTGGTCTGAAAAACCCACAAGTTATATAAAATTATGCAATCCTTTGTTATAGATGCATAAAAAAAAAAAAAAAAAAAACCACAGACAAAGTCAACTATCTTCTCTAGATTTGAAGCTAAACCTGGGATTCTCGTGGATTACATCTCCCATGTTGCTCAGTGAGCCAAAACTCTACAATAACAATGGACAGCAATGATCTTTATTGGGAATACTGGGTCTGGTAGGAATTTAGTTATTAATATTTAACTAAACTTTACACAAACAAGCAACACAGATCAAACACTATAATCCTGTCTTTGAGGATGACAACCGACACTCAAACATCACGCTAACAGAATTTAAATAAGCCTTCAAGCTACCAAGGAATTACACCATGAGGATTATATACTAAATAAATAATTCAAGATGAATTTCAAATCTAAGATCAAAATAGCCAGACTTTAAAAAACAAAAACAAAAAAAAACAGCAGGCCCACAATTTGAAATTGTAACCAAACCTGCATATGTTCTTGCCCCCACTTACAAAAGTCATACACAATACAACACATGAAAATTCGAATTCTAATTCTATAGAGCGTTCTAGATCTATTCCATTATATACTTTACTGCCACGGTGGTGCAGCAGATGTATTACACAACATACAGTAATGGATCAACAGGAAGAGCAAAACCGTGTCCCTCCCCTCTATACAAGAGACCAGGAATGACAGAAATGAAGCTGAGCCTCTCCCTGCACTGCTCCCCCTCCCAGTGCCTGCTCCTATTTAAAGCCTCATAAAAGGGGGAGGTGGGGTGACACTGGGGTTGACGTCAGCAGCCAAGCACCTTCCCCTCCTTGCTGACTGTATATATGGCTGGATGCAGTCAGGGGGAGCCATGTTAGGGCAGTGAGCTGCCAGCTGCCCAACAAGGAGGCTGTAAGGAGAGAGTTAAAATACACAACACGTGCTGGGGGTTAACCCAGCATTTCAGCAGGTTTTTGGATTATATATATTTTTAATTTTATTATGATAAAAATTCAGAGGCACCCCAGCCTTAAAAATAGAATAGAGAATATATAAGGAGCAGCCTGCAATGGTCTCCCTGGGGACATGAAACTCCCATTTGTTTGGGGTACACAGCTCACATGGTGAACCTCCTAACCCAGGCTGTACAGGTCCCAGGGAGAGGGGCAGTGACCTTCAATACCACAGATGTATCTCTCCTATTCAGGACCAGTGAATACCCCTTCATCCAGTCACTGACAAACATTCTCAGATGGAATGGGGTGAACCCTCCAACATTCTACCCGCTCCCCAACACACAAGCCCACACTCCAACATTCTTTGTCTCAATCCACCACTCGTCATCTGCCCCAGGGGTGGGCACGGGGTCCTTACCACGGGGTTGGCATTAGCCGAAGACGCCATATCCAACAGTTTAGTGATTAGGAAGGGGTATATATATCCCTGTCCTAGATACCCCTCTCTCCCAATCGACAAACAAAGGGACGAAAGCCTTGCAAACCACCCACACCTCCCCCTCACTCTGAATGTAGGGGGGCAACAGATAATGCAAAAAGGGCAATAAAGGAACTCACACAGGAGGTGTGGGGGTCTTACATATGGGGGAGGGGCAACAGGGCACTTAAATGCAGGAGGGGCAATAAATGACCCGAAGAGGGAACTTACATGGGGGTAATAAAATACACAGAGGGGGTGGGGGGCAATAAAAGGTATTACTATAGGCACAAACTGAGATTACATGGGGGGGGGAAATCAATTACCCCTTGGGGTATTATACAGGCAGGATAAATTAGAGGGGTATTATAAGGGGGTATAAAGGGGATTACTACCTGCCCACACAGAGGGTATTCAGAAAGGAATATACTAGATCTCCCCTTCCCGCCCAGAGAGAGGGGGTGATGGGGCAGTTAGAAGGTTTGCCCCCACATATGTGAGGATTAGGGCAATAAAATAACAGCCCCCTCCGCCCTCACACAGGGGGTATCACACTAAGGGGGGCTGATAGAGACAGTGGGGGCGGTATAAAGCCCCCCTCTATTATTACAGGGGGTCACAGATTAGAGATTGCCCCCCTGGGGTGAGGAGGTAGGGGAGGAGGTGCCCCAGGCGGGGTGGGAGGGTGAGGGGGGGGAATAGAGGGGTACTCAGGCCAGGTTTCGGAGGGCCGTCTCAGCCGTCTGCTCCAAGCCGTCTCTCTCCTTTATATACCGACACCGAGCTGCGAAGACACAGAGTCACGGGGGCGGGAAGCCGCGCGAGAGCTGGACGTCAGGCGAGGGGGCGGGGTCTGGACGCGAAGCATCTCGGGATGTGTAGTTTTTAGTGGGAGGGGTTTAAACCTTGTGCAAGCAGGACAGAGGGGGAAGCTCCACCTTCAACTCTGCCTGTGGCAGAAAGAGTGGAGATTCAACCTAGCCCTTCAACAGGAACCTTGTCAGACTGAGCAGGCCCAGCCTTTAACCCCATCCATGCCAGGCAGGCAGACTGAGCAGGCCCATCCATGCCAGGCAGACTGAGCAGGCCCAGCCTTTAACCCCATCCATGCCAGGCAGACTGAGCAGGCCCATCCATGCCAGGCAGACTGAGCAGGCCCATCCATGCCAGGCAGGCAGACTGAGCAGGCCCATCCATGCCAGGCAGACTGAGCAGGCCCATCCATGCCAGGCAGACTGAGCAGGCCCATCCATGCCAGGCAGACTGAGCAGGCCCATCCATGCCAGGCAGACTGAGCAGGCCCAGCCTTTAACCCCATCCATGCCAGGCAGACTGAGCAGGCCCAGCCTTTAACCCCATCCATGCCAGGCAGACTGAGCAGGCCCAGCCTTTAACCCCATCCATGCCAGGCAGACTGAGCAGGCCCAGCCTTTAACCCCATCCATGCCAGGCAGAGACCAGGCCCAACCCTTAACCCCATCCATGCCAGGCAGAGACCAGGCCCAACCCTTAACCCCATCCATGCCAGGCAGAGACCGAGCAGGCCCAGCCTTTAACCCCATCCATGCCAGGCAGAGACCGAGCAGGCCCAGCCTTTAACCCCATCCATGCCAGGCAGAGACCGAGCAGGCCCAGCCTTTAACCCCATCCATGCCAGGCAGAGACCGAGCAGGCCCAGCCTTTAACCCCACCCATGCCAGGCAGAGACCGAGCAGGCCCAGCCTTTAACCCCATCCATGCCAGGCAGAGACCGAGCAGGCCCAGCCTTTAACCCCATCCATGCCAGGCAGAGCAGGCCCAGCCTTTAACCCCATCCATGCCAGGCAGAGACCGAGCAGGCCCAGCCTTTAACCCCATCCATGCCAGGCAGAGACCAAGCAGGCCCAGCCTTTAACCCCATCCATGCCAGGCAGAGACCGAGCAGGCCCAGCTTTTAACCCCATCCATGCCAGGCAGAGCAGGCCCAGCTTTTAACCCCATCCATGCCAGGCAGAGCAGGCCCAGCTTTTAACCCCATCCATGCCAGGCAGAGCAGGCCCAGCCCATAGCCCCATCCATGCCAGGCAGAGAAGGTCCAGCCCATAGCCCCATCCATGCCAGGCTGAGAAGGTCCAGCCCATAGCCCCATCCATGCCAGGCTGAGAAGGTCCAGCCCATAGCCCCATCCATGCCAGGCTGAGAAGGTCCAGCCCATAGCCCCATCCATGCCAGGCTGAGAAGGTCCAGCCCATAGCCTCATCCATGCCAGGCTGAGAAGGTCCAGCCCATAGCCCCATCCATGCCAGGCTGAGAAGGTCCAGCCCATAGCCCCATCCATGCCAGGCTGAGAAGGTCCAGCCCATAGCCCCATCCATGCCAGGCTGAGAAGGTCCAGCCCATAGCCCCATCCATGCCAGCCAGGGCCCCATCCATGAGAGCAGGTCCAGCCATAACCCATCCATGCCAGACAGAGCAGGTCCAGCCCCCATCCATGCCAGACAGAGCAGGTCCAGCCCCCATCCATGCCAGACAGAGCAGGTCCAGCCTTTAACCCTATCCATGCCAGACAGAGCAGGTCCAGCCTTTAACCCTATCCATGCCAGACAGAGCAGGTCCAGCCTTTAACCCTATCCATGCCAGACAGAGCAGGTCCAGCCTTTAACCCTATCCATGCCAGACAGAGCAGGTCCAGCCTTTAACCCTATCCATGCCAGACAGAGCAGGTCCAGCCTTTAACCCTATCCATGCCAGACAGAGCAGGTCCAGCCTTTAACCCTATCCATGCCAGACAGAGCAGGTCCAGCCTTTAACCCTATCCATGCCAGACAGAGCAGGTCCAGCCTTTAACCCTATATCTATTTCAGAAAGAGAAGCTCAGACTTTAACCCCACCCATGTCAGACAGAAATGCCACCCCTTAATCCTACCTATATCAGATGGAGTGGAGGTCCAGCACTTTACCATAGACACAAAAAAGTTGTGCAGGGTATAACATGCAGCATACAATCAATAACTGCAGCTTTATGGCCCAATTTAACTCATCCCTGCAACAAAGCAACTTCAATTGAACACTGCAGTTTTATGATATGGACTGAGATTTAGAAGACATTTTACTTGATATCTTTTACTCTTGTTACTACATATTAACTTACTATAACAATGTTACCATTTTCACCTATAGTTTACTGTAACATTTTGTACATGTAGTTATTAATCTGACTGATCGAGGAATTGCTTACTTGCCAACCAAATCCTAAATTACCATCGCGGTTCCTTAGGCCCTAATTTAACTTCCACTTATAACAAAGCAACTTCCTTTCTTCTCAGTTCTACCCACCCAGCTTCCTTCTAACTGCATAACATGCTCTACCAGCTGTTTGAAGCCACAGTCAATCACCTCCCCATTACTTTTACATGTTATCAGTTACTGCAATCACACTATAGAGTCGCTCCGCCATCACATACAAATGCATCTGCTGCCTCTTGTCTCATCTCCCCAGTTTACCTTTAGATTGTAAGCTCACAGGCAGAGCCTTCTAACTTTTATATTGTATTGTTTTTCCCCCCAACTTGTACTACACTGCAGGATATGTTGGCACTTTATAAAAGCTAGTAATAAACATGTTTCAAAATAACCCTCTCTGGGTGTTATACTTAAGGCAATATACATAGTCTACACAGATAAGCAATCTTCAGTGAAATATTACTTGAATGATACAGGCAGCAGAAAAAAAACTTCTTAAATATTCAAACTTTAATTACTGCAAAACACAGAAAACAGTGTAAAACCATATAAAATAGATAGTGACATAGGATATTAAAGACACTCACAAACATATAGCCAACAAAGGTGGCTAAAAAGGCACCAACAGGTCCCAAAGACCAACTCAAAAGGCAAAGGGTAATGTCCCAGATTCCTGGCAGAAGGAGCGGTTCCGACCCAAGCTGCAATAGAAGAACTCTATGTCTGACCGGTTTAGTCTATACCAGCCTTTCTCAAAGCAAGCTTGTATAATGAAGGGCCAAAAAATCCCGCCTTTTAAAGACTTCCAATCAGCCTCAATTTACTGCCAGCCGTGTAAATTGGCTGAGACAAGCTCCCACCAGAAATATGGCCGTCAGGATCCCATACTGGTGACCATTTCTGGTCACACAGTTATGATCGCATAGAAACCACTGAAATCTAGGCCAGAATGTCTTTACCATACACTTGCTAGAATCAAGATAGACTTAGGGGAAGGTCAGCCTATCCATGCGACACTGCATAGTGGAATTTAGCCAATGACGAAAGGTGTGTCCCATGTCACAGATGTCAAAATATGGTTTGTTCTTTAACAAACTGGCCACTAGCCTTACAGTATCTTTTCTCTAGTGTATACAAGTTAGTATTTACAAAAGAAAAAATAGACAAGAGGTAGCCTCAGGTGACAATAGTAGTCACTGCAGGAAAAGAAACATATGATGACACCCTTGGATATCACATACAAGGTTAATGGGACACTCCTCTGCTTAAATACAAAATAAATAAAACTCACTGTTTAGTAGATATACCCCAAATGAAAACTTGCATGTATTAATTATGCTTTTTTTTTCATTGGAGTTCTATATAAAATCAGCTTGCAAAACCGACAGATTTGGCTTTCAAGCAGACAACAGGTAATGATATATCCTGGGTTTGTTAGCAGAGACAGCAATTGCCCAAAGCACCTGACTTTTAAAGACTTCTCATTGAGCTGCATTAGGAAGTCTGTGATTGGACAGCCACAGAAAGTCTGGGCAGGGTTAGGAGGGGAGGGTGCGTAAAGGCAGCAGACAAGAGATCTGCAGTTTTTGCAGGCTGATATTAGATATGTCCCCAATAAAAAATACATAATTATATGCATGCAAGTTTTAATTTGGGGTATATTTACTAAACAGTGATTTTTATTTATTTTGTATTTGGGCAGTGGAGTGTCCCTTTAATGCATTTCCTGTATCAACGGCACTTAGTCAAAATATCGTTGATGAGTCAAGGTGGGCAAACTCGTGGGATGTTTTGCACAATTAAAGCCTGGAGTAAAAAGGTTTAAGGAGGCAAAATCAATAGCAGTTTATGGCCTTGATGCCCGCGTACATTAATTACATAATAACGTAATAAAACAATGCACTCTGCTTAATTGCTTTGTTTGTGTTAGCCCAGACCTGCATAGCCTGCGCCCCCCTAGAAGTTTTAAACTACTATCTGCCATGATTCCTCGGCTATCTGTTTGTTTATGGGCGCTGGCTGTTTAATTTAAAAAAAAATCATGGGTGTTGGCTATCTGTTTAATTCAAAGAATCATGAGAATTGTAGTACAAAACGTCTGGGGGGCGGCTGCTTGTGCAGACCTTTGTTAGCCTGTGTCCACCAGCTGTGATGGCATATCAACAGTTACCATGGGCTTGGCTTAGCCAGCACGGAATAAAAATGTTATGTGACTGCAAGGCCTAACTCCCTTGCAACATGGACCCATTGCCTTAAGATACAAGGTCATTAAGGCATGTTTTGGTCTATAAACCCCTGGCCATACAGATATAGTTGTATTTTCTTTTTGAGTGCCAAGAACATTGCTAGACAATCTTTCTCTATGGCCACGTAGCGAAGGGCTTGATGCATTGGCTTCCAGGTGATGTGCCAGACCAGTACTCCATACTCATGTCGAGAAAGTCATCATACCTAGCATGAAACAGACATGCTGCAATCTGCAGAAAAACTTGTGGTACAATCATTCATTGGCAGGAACACGACAGGAGAGGCCCAAGGACTACAGGACAGTTGAATTATCCGTAGGGCAAGGATATCATCAATTTAAAGGGACACTATAGTCACCAGAACAACTACAGCATATTGAATTTTTCTGGCGAGTAGAATCATTACCTTCAGGCTTTTTGCTGTAAACACTGTCTTTTCAGAGAAAATGCAGTATTTACATTACAGCCTAGTGATAACTTCACTGGCCACTCCTTAGATGGCTGTTAGAGATCCTTCCTGGGTCATGGCTGCCTAAAATACATCCAAACATTCAGTGTCTCCACCCTCTGCATGCAGACACTGAACTTTCCTCATAGAGATTCATTGATTCAATTCATCACTATGAGGAGATGCTGATTGGCTATGGCTGTGTTTGAATGTTGCTGGCTCTGCCCCGATCTGTCTCTTTGTCTGTCTCAGCCAATACTATGGAGAAGCACTGTGAGTGGATCAGGCCACCACTTCTGATGATGTCAGCACATTGCTTGTTTTTCTGAGTCTAAAAGCAAGCAGAGTTACAGCTTCAAGCTTGAATACAGTATACTATAGTTATGGAGGCATGAGGGGTGCAGGGGGGCTAGATGGGAGTTATAGAGGCATGAGGGGCGCAGGGGGGCTAGATGGGAGTTTTAACACTATAGGGTCAGGAATACATGTTTGTGTTCCTGACCCTATAGTGCTCCTTTAAGGCTTCAGATTGGGATAAAATGCTTCAGGTCCTGACCAAATTGAATAAAAACATAGTTGGTCAAGATTTAATGTTTTTTTTGTTCCCAGCTATTTTCATTGTGAGTTATCAAAGGACGCAGGCAGGGAGGGATATAAAGAGTCCACCTTAGTATCCCTCACACAATAAACTTGGGTTGGAAAGTTTCTACCTCTATGTATGAGAGTATTATATGAAAGGAAACAAGCCACTTAACACTATATATGCCAATCAGAAAAAAGATTCAGAACTTATAGGGACACTCCACTGCTTAAATATTTTTTTTAAATCACTGTTTATGCATTATTACATTTAATTATGTATTTTTTCCATTGGGGAGATATCTAAAAACAGCTTGCAAAAGTCGCATATCTCCTGTCAGCAGCCCTCCCCTTCTAACTCCGCCCACACTTTATGTGGCTGTCCAATCACAGACTTCCCAATGCAGCTCAATGAGAAGTCTTTGTAAGGCAGTGCGCTGGGCAGTTTCTACCTCTTGAGTTTAGCTCCACTGAACTAACCAAACCAGGAAGTAACAGGGCTGGTTGTCAGATTGATAGCCAGAGAGTGTAACAAGGTTAATGGGAAAAAAAAAGAGCACACACTTCACACATGCATTTCAGCAACCTGCATGCGTCCATTTAACATGATCCATTCTAGGCGTATGCATATTCGCAAAACTGTGGTAGACGAAAAGAATCTCTCCAACCAAGATGTTTTTCCAGATGAGCAATATAAACCTGCAATTTGAAAATCGTTTCCAATGTCCGCAATTCACATTTAATGCTGTGGGTATAGGAATCCCTGTAAATTCTGCATTCAGTCTGTATGAGCGTGAAAGTGTGGACTAGCAATATGTTGAATTTATGTACTCCTAGCATGAAATTAATTAACCAGGAACGCAAATGAACTGCTATGACTTTATAATATGTTTCACACGGGGTAGAATTCACAGGCTTCTTGAACAATGTGGCACATTGGTAATCTTGTTTGAGAGGTCAGAATAAAACATTATTTTTTTTTTCAATTCTATGTTTAGGAGACATGCCCCAGCCCAATTCATAAAGTGAGGGCAGTGCCAAACATAACATAAAGCACTTACCCCTCATATTAATTTGGGGTTGATTTATGTAAAATAACAAAGAAACAAATATAGTGATATATTGTATTAAATGAAATAAAACACATTAGTGACGTGAGTGCAAATAAACTCGCATTCCTGATGTTAGCAATATCCATGGCCACCAATAGAGGGCAACATAAGGATGATGTCCAGCTGTGCTCCTTTTACAGGTTATTTGAACATTCACATATTAGTTTCTGGCCTTGTAGAATTGATTTTCATTGTGAATGAAAGGCTTTGTGACTAGTATTGTATGTCTTCCATTGCAGTTCTGAATCCCTCAAGGTGCCAATCTTGCTATCTATTTAAATGTGTTGTATTATGCATAGCACAAATCTTGTTTAACCCCTTAAGGACGAAACTTGTGGAATAAAAGGAAATCATGTCATGTGTCCTTAAGGGGTTAAGTCAATGCTGGGCTGTTTTGTTTTTTTCTAAAGCAATTTTTTAGGCCAACTCCCTCCCCAATTGTGTCAAGTACATGCAATGATGGAACTAACACAGAGACGGCACTAGTACGATAATTTTTTGCAAGGGTGGCCAAAACGTAAATCCCCATCTGTTGTACAATTCCAACAATGCTTTAACTGCTGAGGCTCTACCATTTCCCCATGCTTGTAGGGTTGTATTTAGCACTGAGCAGTGTTTGCATGTAAGCATGTTGTTGTGTGAAAGTAAGCGTGTGTTTGTATGTAGTTTTGGCATTTGAATGCAAGCATGCATTTATGTGTAGAGTCGGAATGTAGGGGTATGTTTATATATAATTTTGATGTTTAATACAGGGTTGTGTTTTTATGTAGTGTTAATGTTTGAATGCAGAGGTGTATTTCTGTGTAGTGTAGGTGCTTACATTTTCCTATAGAGACATGCACTGCCATGCACACTGTGATACACAGACACACACTGAAACACATGCAGATACACAGATATACACACTAACAAACATACAGATGCACACATTGAGAGACACACACACACACACACACTGAAACACATACAGATACACAGATATACACACTGACAAACATAGAGATGCATACATTGACAGACATACACACACTGGTCAAAATGTACAGTTTCATAGCCACCCTACAGCTTTCTATCTTTTGGTTCTAGGAGGATGGCATCCCTTGGGTCCAGTCTGCAGGCTGAGTCTGTTGAGAGTTAGGGACTGGCTCTCCCGGTCAACGCCCCCCTCCTCTCTGCCTTCTCCTCCTCTCTCATGCGCGGCTCTACGTCTTTCTGGGAGGAAGTGAGAGCTGGCCACTTCCTCCAAGGCTACCGATAAGAAGGGGGCACTGTCACGCTGTTAAAGGCACCTGCTGGCACATGGCTCACCGATGGGCCCCCTTAGTATGCAGGCCCCAGTGGAGCCACACCGGCTGCACTTGCGGTAGTTCCGTCACTCTGTACACATTATGTGCTAAACTGAATATAAAGACTTAAAAGACCCCTTCTTTTATTCAGTCAAGGATGCCACAAAACAATCTTCAGCCTAGGTGTCTCCAAATGTATTCAAAACCATGCGTAAAGCAACCTTAGGCTGAAACTTATCCTTTATCATATAATTATTTTTGGTGTAATAACCATAACTTAGTCTCACTTAAAGGGACACTATAGGCACCCATACCACTTCATCTCAATGAAGTGATCTGGGTGCAGTGCCCTGGTTCCCTTAATCCTGCAATGTAAAACACTGCAGTTTTTGAGAAAACTCGAGAAGCACACAGAGTTTAACTCTCTGAAACGACATTGAACATCCTCACGCTTTGCATGAGGACATCCAGAGTCTTGAAAATCCTTATAGTAAAGCAATAATTCAGTGCTTTCCTAGGGGGAAGCTCTAATGCCTGTGTGGGGCTTGCGGAGCATGCACATGAAGTTCCCCTTTTGACTAACTTTGTTGGAGGAGAAGACCGAGCCATCAGATAAGTGCAAGAAAGGGTTTTTTACTCTTTCATGATCATGTAAGGCGGGGGTGCAAAGGCACACTATAGCATTAGGAATACAGTTTTGTTTTCCTTACACTATAGTGTACATTTAGGAATACATAGAGTTACATGTTTATTGCTCATTACTAAACTTTGCTTTTAATGGGTGATTTGAAGTTGTCATAGTAATAGGAGTCTGTATGTGCATAACATTGCAATGAAACCCTGCAGTTTAAACCCTCTGCGGCAGCGTCACTAGCGTGTCCATATCACCAGATCACCAGGCCGGTACCCAGGTAAGGGGCAATCTATTACTAAACTGTAGTGGTTATGATAGTTGGAGAAACCCTTTAAATATACATAAAATATTAACTGCCACTTTTCAGTCAATTTTCTAGAGGAACCTGCATAAGACTGGGGAAAACTTGAAAGAGTCTGCAGAGGACTACAGCAGACCTAAGGGAATCTGCACGGGACTAAGGGAGGACTACACATATCTGCACATGATGACTGAAAGCTGGGGGTATCTGAAAAATGTCTGAAAAGGACAAGGGAAAAACGAATGGTATTTGGACAGACTGAATTAAGTACTAGATGGACCTACACTAAACAATGGAATATCTAGGAAGAACGGCTCATGTTTAGGAAAGATCTAGAAGGATCAGGAAAGCACAAAATACACAATAATTTAAGGTTTTATCTGGTTGACTGGTTTATAGCAGATGTTTTACATAAAAACAAATTCTAATAAATAGGGCAAAAAAACTGTCCATAGTTTCAAATTATAGATATTTCTTTAATTAATTTTACTTACGAAGCTCTTGACAATTTCCCCCTGCTGCAATGTTTCTGAACAGACACCAACCTGGGTCTTTACTTCTTACGTTTTTCATGGAATCCTTAGGACTGGAGCAAGAATCAGAATTTGAATCCTCTCATCACATTATCAAATGAAACAAACTTTGATAACACAAGCTGTGATACTTGTGATAACACAAGTTAACTGCAGATTTAAACTAGAAAAATCCAACTCTGCTGACTCAAAGATTTTGTTTTCATACACAATGTTGCTTTTAATTGTTCCAGCGCTATTGGTAACACATCACCACACACTGTTTAGTGAATAGACTGATCACTGGAAGAAGATACACAAGGAAAGGAACAGATACAGACCGGAGTGTGTTGGTAATAACAAGCTTTTTTTTAATCACAGGCTGGGTTATTATGGGAATTAAATGGTTTTTTCAGCTGAAAGTTTTCAAGATGGATATAACTGGCGAACTTGTTCCGATATAGATCCTTGGAAAGGTTGATAGAGAAATATCAGAAACAATCTGAAATTAACACTATCACCTAGATAACCCAAGTGGTATAATTCAACACTCAGAATAAATGCAGGTGTTGGCCTGCCGAGCTGCTGAACAGGGATACGGTGCCATGAAAATTATCTCTATTACAAAGGACAAAGCGGATGTTTTTGTTTTCAGGGATCTCCCTCCCATGCTGGCATGATTGTCACTAAATGATCTCTTCCTTATAATCCCAAGGGGACTTCACCTGTACTTACATATAAAAGGTGCAGAGTTTCATATTTATGCATGAAAATTTGAGACAAATTTAGCAAAGATGTTGTCAGGGTTTGCGTAGAATCCATCTAATGCCAAAGAGAAAACAATTCATTAATTCAAGGGAGATCCCTGCTGTGATTAGTTAATATATATTATATATATATATATAATATCAAGCTCAGAGGTGCCAAAAAGGTAGCTCCCCAGATGTTATAGAACCACAACTACCATGATGCTTTACATGCCTTTAGAATGCCTTTACAATGACAAAGCATCATGGAAGCTGTAATTTTTGAAACATCTGGGGATCTACCTTTTGGGTACCCCTGATCCAGCCTATGTATTGTACATACCACCAGGAAACTATTTTTTTTTTTTTTTTTTTTAAAGATCTGACAGTGATAGTGAAACCCCCCTCCCTCCCTCCCAACTCTGACATATAAAAAAATAAATAAATATATTCTCTATTTCAAACAACCTCCATATACCCCCCAAAAAACTGTGTTAGTAAGTTTAGGGCAACAGCGCCACAGTTATTTAAAAAAAAAAAACATAAAATGAATGACACCTAGAAGGACAGTGATAGGCATGGTAGATGTTATATAGACCACCTTTCCCATTACCTGTTAATCTACTTTTAATTTAGTCACAGTAATAATTAGTAAGAATGTCTATTATTTGACAAAGACTAATAATATACAGTTGTTGCCAACATGTATTATCTCACAAGCCCAAGGATAAGTAATGACGCAATGTTACCTCTTTATTTGACATTGGACATTTAAAGTGTAGCGCAAACAGTAGTAACATTTTTTTTTTCTAGTGAAATGCAATAAAAATACATTTTAACCCTGTCTGATGGAAAATCTTTCTCCAGAGCGTAGCATCACATAGCAGATTATTTTATAAATCCTTTTTTTTTGCCTTTATGGGGAAGTGCAACTGTGCAAAACCATGAGGCAGGCAAGATTATGCTGCTTAATTTCATTAATTAAGTAATAAGTATGAAAACTTGAAATGTTTTGGCCCAAATGTTGCAAGTTATCTGCCCCCCCCATAACTATCTGTTTAGTGCACAGTCACCTGTGTAAATATTCCACATTAGACACTGAAAACATACTGGGATCCACTGGGTCAGTAATTATAGGACCACACTACAAAATATTATCATTACATTGTCTCTTAAATTAATATCAATCTGATGAATTTAACAGCATGATCGGAGTCACTTCCACTTGTAACCAAAAATGGTGGCACTTGACTAGCGCTGTAAACGTCTTTCTTGAGAGCACTGTAAACTTTTTAACAGGCCAGGGCCAACCTTTAGATAAATTGCATTCACTTTTTTTAACAGAATTTAGTGACATAATTGGCCCAATTATCAAGCAAGATAGAAGCCATCTTGGTTTTGTTTTTTTTGTTTTTCAGTAGGTCTCAAAGGCAGGAGCTGTGATTACGTAATTTTAGAAAACAGTGATAACAACTACCAATGCCTTCTATGTATTTAACAATATTACAATAAATATCTGCCTTACTGATTGTTTGAGAAAGTTTAGGTCTTTGCCCAAGAACATTAAGCTGCAATTGTTCTGGTGCCTAGAGTGTTCTTTTAATAAATTCCTAGTTCCTTCTCAGGGCAACCAGTCAAAGCTGTGCTAACACGTGGCACAAAAGGAGAATCCGCAATGTTGCTCATTATAGCACAGCTTTCAATTTGAGGGCTAATCAATATCAGATTCGCAAGAAAACACTCTCTTCATACTCTGTAGATAATAGGTAACAGATCTTCTGCAATAACGTTAAAAATGATATATCGTATCCAAACATTCCATTAAAAATTACACGTAAAAAAAAAATCAATAAACATATTGGGATAGTGCAACGTCCAATGTACAAAACAAAAAGAAAATCACAATGAAAACCGGAACCAAGCAGACTAGTATGATGGGTGAGGGTCACGTATACACATGCATGATGGACGTTTAGGGATTCAGATCTACCACATTTGCCTGCCATAAAATTGGCCAACATGGGCTTTAATTTAATTTGTTTAAATCAGCAGAAACAATCCCAATCTTTTAGAAAAACACTTTCAAATGATTTATCCAAAAACATTCCCGTAGACGTTAATGATGACTGGTGTAGATAAATAATTTAAAAGGTTTTTTTTTTTTTTTCTAACAGGCTAGATTTATATCTGCTCCTGGTTCAAACAATTAAAACGGAGTCTATAGTAAGGAGTGTTTTTAGTTCCCATTAGAATGCTGTAACCGACTGTAATTGAACAAAAATCGCCATAGTGTGCTTTTTAAGAAGGTTGATGTTCAGTCACATAGGTTCTGATATTTCTTCAAAATCGATCCTACGTAATAAAAAAATATCACAACAGAGAGATCTTTGCATAACCGTTAAGCTAGCCAACATTTGGCTAATAAGAATTACCCAGCAACTGCCATGGGACATCCCTTATATTAATCTGGCACCCATTCTTTACATTCCTCTAGAAAAACTAGTACTAATTCTAAAATATCACCAACAGTAACCAGGTAACCATCCCAGACCCCGTCCCATAACATCCTCTATAATAATCCGGTAACCATCCTTGAACAACCCTTATATTGACACAGTTAGAATCCTGGTACGCTGCCTAAAATAACCCAGTGGGCATCCTGGAAGACGTAACCTGGTACACTTTCTGAAACATTCTGCTATTAGAACCCTGTACCCAGCATGGAACATTTATATATAAATTTAGTATATAATAACTGGCAACCATCCTGGAACTTTGCCCATAATAACCCAGTTCCCTGCTGGGAACATCCTTTATAAGAACCTGGTACCCAGTCTGACAAATATCCTACAATAATCCAATACTCAGGGTGTGACGTTACTCCAGTAGTCAGCTTAGCTCCCTAGTAATAGCCTGGTACACAGTTTTGTACATTCCCTAAAATATTGCACTTACAGGTTTATTTGTAGTAAAGTTTTTTTCTTGCAGTGCTGACATTTTAGATAAATAAAATATCTAGTAAAAATGAAATTAACAAAAAAAAGTAAAAATTAAAAGGGACCACATACATCAAAATATTATACTGTACTTAAAACCAGCAACTTTGTTGCAAATACTTGGGAATTTGAATAGAAATGCACGACTTCCTCGAATATGTTGGTAGCCAAGTACAGGTACAGCGCCACTACCTGGGCTAGGAATCTTTCAACATGTGTCACACACACAATTCCATAAGTTCCAATTTCCTAGCGCAGCAGCATACCTTATCATTCCCTGATTGGTTGTGACATGTTAGCATGATGAAGAAGTGAGCACACATGTGGCAGCTAACTGGTGGCCAAAGATGGACCTCTAAACAAAGTGGTCATTTTGAGAAATGCAAGAAAGAATTAGGAAATGCTTTCAAAATTATTTTAAAAATTCTCTATGACCATCCAGTTTAATTAAAAGAAGGTTATTTCAAATTTATCTCAATGCGCCTTCCTTATGTAACGTCAGAAAACCAAACACATCCACGTAGGCACAAGGTACCACTGTCCAAAAGCGGAGTGTGCTTGGTGGGATATTGTAAAAGTAAGCAACACACTGGGGTATGGAGTTTGGCCTTGTCTCCCCTTGTCTTTTTGCGGTCCGTGTGACATTTGTGCAAGTTATTCTCCCAATATGAGAAGGAAGAAAGTTAATGTTATTGGGCAGTGCATTCACATGGATTATCCACATCTTCACTTTCCACGCCCTGGTTCAAGGACTTCTTCTGTTCTAGTTCCACCTGGATGTGTTGGAGAAGAGAAGAGGACATATGGTCAGAATGCAAAATACAATCTTTGGCAGCATTGTCTGTAGTTTATAGGTAGCCATGAAGTTACATCACAGTCATATGAATACCGTCGTAAGAAAGTGAGAAAAATGGAGAGATGTGGCATACACTCTTTTTTACCCCTGGACATAGAATTTATTGAGGCTAACCTGGCTTCATTCCAAATTAGCTGGTGCAGATTTTGAAATGTAGTAGTCTCCTCAGATAATGATGGGGGTAAACAGCACTTATCAGTACCAGGATAAGATTTCTGTGGGAAAAGCAAGTCTGATGTCTGATGACTTGACTGGTGTGCAGATTGTTTAACATTGTATTCACTATCCACAGACTTTAGGAGGAAGAGGTTTTCAATCACAATTTTTTCCCCACCATAACCTTTTTGGTTTTTGCTTCTGTTAAAGAGTATTAGAAAAGTCAATGTAAAATGAGCCTAATTCTATAAAATTGGCCACTGGAGGGAGCTCAAATTCCTAATTTTAGGTGGTATCTAAAGCTCCTCGCCAAAGAGGAACAATTTCGAAGTGCTGAAACGTTAACAGAATCAATGTTATCTTTTTATTTTACAATGGAGACTAGGTTATTTTGCTAACATTACAATGGTAGAATGGATTGCTAACTTATCAGCTTGTACATAATTTGAGTACCTATCAAAGGCTAAAAACAACAGGGTTAAGCTCTAAGCTAGCAATGAATACGCTTGAACTTGGAATGCAACAATGCTACTAGAATCAAAAATGGTAGGGTTTACAATGTAACATTTCTACATACAATGACTGGCCTATCTCAGAGTGAAACCGTGCTGGAAGGAACGTGTGGTCAAGATTTGAATGTAAACATGATGAAAGCAAAGAGACGTCAAACTTGTGAAGAAACCATAGTGAGCTCAGAGTGATACTATGCTGCAAGCACACAGTGATCAAGCATTAAATGCAACCATTCTGCATACAGCGCAGTTAATCTGTATTACATCTGATGGACACCATCAGCATAAACAAATCTAATAATGGACTAGAGATGTGCTCTTAACGTCATCTTTATAAACGAGTGTTTGATATCTAGGATGTAAACTCATTTGAGCAAGTCCCTCAACCCCCTCTCATTCCTGTGCACCCAACTCGTCTGGTTACAAATACGTGTCTGTTAGTCCACCCATTGTACAGTGCTGCGGAATTTGTTGGCGCTATATAAATAATAATAATCCAGTACAGAGCACCGAGGTTTACTCTCCCTAGGAAATTCAAAGCAAAGCTGCACACAGGACTGGTTCAAGTTGAACATCAAGCATTGTTACTTAAAGGACCACTCTAGGCACCCAGACCACTTCAGCTTAATGAAGTGGTCTGGGTACCAGGTCCCTCTAGGATTAACCCTTTTTTTAATAAACATAGCAGTTTCAGAGAAACTGCTATGTTTATAAATGGGTTAATCTAGCCTCTAAAGCCTCTAGTGGCTGTCTCATTGACAAAGATGGAATCATCATCTACTATTTAGTCCCCGTTGTCATAAATGCATTAACTACCACCCAACACAGGAACAATTACAGTTTTTTTC